TGTGAAAATACTTTTCGAACTCACTCACACAATGCCCTCTCCCCACTTCCCACCTCCCTCCACATGATATACAAAGTACAAAACCAGGCTCATTTATTCTTCTTTTCCAATAAACGAGTCTTCGCGGTAACGTCGTTCGCGGTAATGTCGTGTCACGTTCGTGACAAGTAGTTGATCAAAAATGAACATTACACATACATCGATTGGGAAATTTAGTTTTATTTTATCTCTTGACGTGTCCACCATAAAGTTTTCTTCAAGTTTCTTTCATAATTCAGAAACATACATCAAAGATGCAGAATTTCATGAAAATTTTTTTGATAAACTTGGAAATTTATTAGGACTTTCTGTTCTTCCTCTCCCCGAAGGTTGTTTTAAATGTCGCAGTAGGAACAAACAGTTCTGCTACTACTCTGGATCATGTCTGGGAAAAAAGTGCACTTGAAAGTCTAAATGAGCAGTTTTGTAGAGCCAAAAAACTTTTATCGAACGAGCCCAAAGGAGACTATAAGACTTTCTAAAAGAAATTTTTAAAGAAAACAAAAGTAACCCATTGTTTTTAGACTACCCGTTATACTGTGGAATTGAAAACTTTTGTCGACCATGGGGTGAGGGTATCGAATTTAGGACAATCCGGCCGAGGGAGAGCACAGATCAAAAAACGATTTTGTTTTCTAGACATTCTAAATGAATAACCTCTAATTGAAATAAAACAAACCAAATATTTTCATTATCACGAAATGAACTTTCTTTTAAACTACTACTTATGATACTCATTGGCACTATATCTTTATAATATGATGCAATATCATTTCTTAATTGATTAATCATGACATGTTTATCAGTAAAAATATAATAAATTTTCTGATATAACGTTGTCCATTGTTCATGAGCACTTTTATCTGTACAAAATACATAAATTGATACAATTTGGGATTTTATGTGAACTAGTGGAATGAATTCTTTACCCAAAGACCCAGATACGATTAAAAAAAGTTTTTCTTTTTCAATACTATTAACGTAATGTAGACAACTGTTCGGTTCGTTAAATATTTTTAAAGAATGATTTACATTTTGTAACAAAGTTCGTGTATTTAAGGAATCATCTGTTCGATCTATATCACCATCAAGCCAAACAATAGTAAAATCTTCGAGATTTTCATCGATTAAACCGAATTCTGTTGGCTGTACTAATGGTTCTGATGACTGCGGTCTGGAATGTGGTACATCATTGAGCAAGATTGTGCTGAAGGGCGGACAGGAGTGCTTTCTTGATGATGCGCGAGCACTTTTCGATGGCAGACAACCCATCAATCAATAACTTAAAACGAAACGAAACGCTTTTTATAGGTTTAATTTTTGTGTTGTTCCTTTTTTTGCACTGTCCGACATAGCGAAGGTAATGCTGGAAGCGTAATATTTTCAAAATCGATTAAGAAATATTCAACCAGAAAAACTAAAAATATCTTTGAGTATACTACACCCTAGTGGAAGTTCTTGAAGCCAAGAAAGCAAGATCTTGGGACATTTCTTGGGCAAGAAATGATTCTTGGGCTTTCTTGTGCATTTCTTGGGGCAAGAATCAAAATGTAAATTTTCTTGGGTGCAAGAAACTATGCTGTTGCAAGAACAATCTATTCTGACGATTACCTGCAAGAAAGTTATTTCTTGTAGCGAAAATATCGTACAAAGTTGGTACCAACAGATAAAATGTGCGAAATTTAATTTTTGACATTTTTTGTTGCGGCACCAAATTTGCCAAATGTTTCCTTCTGGGTAAAAAAATGCTAATTATCAAAATTAGCGTTTTTCTCGCTAATTAACGCCTTTCCCAGAAAACTATAGGATAATCGGTGGCGTTCTATTTTGTTTAGAATTTGATTCTGTGCATTTTTTTGTTGTGTGCTCGAAAGTCCACGATGTCTCACTGCTGAGAAAAACAGTAATTACTTTTCCTCGCTAACTATGAGTTTTTGCAGAGCTCTATTCGATGCAGAATCTAATTTGAACATTTTTTGTTCCAGCCATAACTCTCTTGATGAGATACATCCTAATTATTTATTTTTCGATGTTTGAGATTTTGCCTCATATTCAGACTGGTGAAAGAGAAGAAGATACCAAAGAAGAATGGCCGAGTGGTATAAGGCGTGGAACTCTGAATATTATAAGCTAGACTATCTCACTACATTGCGAGTTCGAATCTCGATCCTGACATTTCATTTTTTTGCTTTTTTCTTGCCAGCAAGGCAAGAAGTACATTTCTTGTAGGCAAGAAATACATTTCTTGAGCAAGATGGTAAAAAGGTTGTTTCTTGCACAAGAAATAGCAAGATCTTGGGACATTCTTGCCCCAAGAACTTTCGCTAGGGTACAACTTTCACGTCATAAGAACAAGCGTCGAAAAGTTGACGCTTTTTTCGTCACATCTTGGTATGTTTTTTTTCTGGACAGTTGTTACTTGTCGCTTTTTACTAGACTGTTTTTGCTAAACATTTTTTAGTGGACATTTTTTTGTTGGATGGATTTTTGTGTGATGCCTTTTCTCGTCTCTCGATTGTTTGCTTTTTTCAATTAGTCTGGTCTATTATATGAAAGTATGAACTTTGATATGATACAGGCTCATATGTATATTAAACATCTAGAGTGCAGGGAGATGAATTTCAAAATGGCGACTTCTTTCTTTTCTTCAGTTTAATTAAAGCGGTCACAAAGTTTGGTTTACTAAAACGAACAAGCAGACAGTGGGAGCTTCGTCGTCTGTTGTTGTCAAGCACACTTGAAAATCATTTTCTAGTAGCAAAAGTAAAAAACAAACGTGAGTGCTGTTTTAGCAGAATGAACAAAAAGTCGATTCATCTAATTAACATATGCTAAGGTTCTAAGCGTAGCTACTTGAACGCCAGCGAACACATTTAAATATAGGATGCCTTCCTGATTAGAACTGCGCTGAATTTTAACACGAGCATAACTGAACTTAGAATTAAAATAAACACATTTCCTAGCAACTGAAACATCTCTGAACTAGTGATGTAAAACGGAAGAATCACTGACTGTTGAAAAGAACTGGTGAGAAGTTATGGAAACAACAGTTAGAAGCGTCCAACTTTAGTTGGGCTTGACGGCAACAGACTACGAGGCTCCCACTGTCTTATTTTATGTTTTGGTAAATCGAACTTTGTGGCAAAAGAAGTCACTATTTTGAAATTCATGTCAAGAAGAAATACTTTTGCTAGAAAGAAATTTTATATCCTAAAATGCGACTGGACGCGTCTTGCATCTCATTTCACTCTAGACTATAAATATGGTTGGTCGATCATAAACTACATTTTTCTTCGGTGTAATCAATATCAATAGGTTGGATGGAGATAGTGATTGATGATGTACTATTGTCGTGTGTGTGTTTGTTGATGTATACTCCAGTTGATTTCTGAAGTTTTTATTAACAAAAAACAGAGAGAAGACTAGTATTAGAATGTTAAAGTGCTTTCGAATTTCTTCGTCAGTAGCAAATGAAATTCGACCGGACGTTTTTCGTCCGAAAATTTGTGGACGCTTTGTGCAACTTGCATAATGCAAGTCGATGTCTCTCTTAGTATAGGTTTTTATGGAGGTTTTTTACTTGTCACTTTATTCGATGCTTTTCTTCTTCCCGTGTTGTCAATGACACATTACACACATATGTTTTCATTGATCCTTTTATGTGTTATATACTGAGGACGTTTCCTACCAACAGGTTCTTCAATGTATGATGGTTCGGTATTGAGATCAATGTGGGTTAGATGGATTACGAAAAATACGCGCTATACACAACGAACTAGGAACGTCATTAACGAATGAACGTGATAGAAAACGTCCGCAGCATATAATACATAAAATGATCAATGGAAACATATGTGTGTAATGTGTCATTGACAACACGGGAAGAAGAAAAGCATCGGAGAAAGCTTTTTAAGAAAAAAGACGATAGAGCGGAAGGATTGGCTAAAATTTACTATGGAAATCGCAGAGACTGCGGCAGCACCTTGAGAAACTCATAATAAAATTAAAAGAAGCCCGCTGTCGGATTCGCCTTGAAATTCTGAATATATCACCTTAGATCCATCAGGTTTCGTCCGGCGCGGAGCTTGCACCTCTTTTAGTAATGTTTTCGTTTCCTATCGAAAATAAAACGGTACAGAATACTGAGTTAGACAAATGAGGGAGATCACCATCATCATGAGAAAAAACATGAAAAACTATACCATTTCGTTTTAAATTCAACTGCTAAACGTATGAGGTAGTAAGAAACGGCGAATGGAACAGAACCTTATTCTTCAAGAAAAAAATAACAGCACATCTTATGATCGCTCATAAACTCAAACTTCCTTAATGTACGCTGTGCTTCATTAGAGAAGCTTCCGAAAAGTGCTGCATCATACTAATCTTGTTCAACGGAAGAAACATGAGCTTTTTTAATTTTCTTATGATTTCTGCTGCTTCTATAATACTTCCCTTGTAAATGAATTGAGCAATACCAATATTTCAGCAATCATTTTAATATTAATTTTAGAGCGTGTAATTGCGAGATGTACAGGTCATTCCATTTATTTTGAAACCATTTGCATACACTTTTTCTTCGTTAGTGACTTATACAGATCTCAAGATTCTCATATCAGCCTATCCCACTAACACTGCAGATGTTGTCATAATACTTATATTTTAGATAAACGAACGCCTCGTAATAAAATATCTGATGATACCGAAGGAATCGTCATGTATCTTTTGACGAAAAAGTATTCATATTCTTTGATACAACAAGAATTATCTGAAGTGAATCTAAATGTATCATTAGTCGTACTGCTAATACCCTAGACAAATTTTTTTTGAAATTTCTGATAAGAATCTTATCCGATTCTTATATAAGAAGTGGCACGAAAGTTGCACGAATTTCGTAAGAATCAGATAAGAATCAGATAAGAACTTCATAAGAAAGTGATAAGAATCCTTTATCAGATTGTTACAAGTTTGCTGCAAGAATTATTCTCTATTCATATCGTTTCAGTAAGATTTCATAGAAATAACTTTCTCTTCATAGATTTCCTTAAGCCAAAGAATTTTAACAACGTAATTTCATGTCTAGAATCTACTATGATAAACTTAAAATTTCGACGCACTAAATTATATTCCATCGTGATAAACACCATTTCCATATGCACCACTTATATGTGTATTATTACTATGGAAATCGCAGAGACTGCGGCAGCACCT